AAATCAGGAGTCGGTTAACAAGAACCTCATTTCTTTCAACGCAAATTACTACAACCATGTGATTACAAAATATATCTTATTTGTGGACTTGGTCAATATCCATCACCTTGTTCTGTTCAAACACTAACAAAAAATCAATATAATATACAATTCATATCACATAATGAAGGTGATATGAGCCCTGCCATTAAATAAGTTATTCCAACAGTGAAATGGAGGCTAACAAATAAACATAATTCCGTTTGTCAATGACAACAGAGACAGGGCACGTATACAATCCATTTATCAAATCAAATAATTTACAAAAGTCAACTTCAACCACGTTTGACTTAAATTAACCAAGTTCACTTCCCTGCAAACCCTTTAAAATAGTCCTGCAAGCACTTCAATCTAACCACATATTGAATGTTTTTGAGCCATATTAATCAAACACACGACTTGAGTGAGCAATGGTCCCAATACCACTGAAGTTACTAATTTTATTGTAGAAAACCCTGTTAAGATATGCAACAAATATCTAGGACCCATCAACATTAATATTTGCTGCAATAAAAAAAATATAGTAATTGTATAAATAGCAAGTGATACCTGCTTAGCAAGATTACAGGCACGATCCGGGGAGTTGAGGATTTCATAATAGAATACAGAAAAGTTGAGAGCAAGACCAAGCCTTATTGGGTGCGTTGGGGCCAATTCTGCTAGAGCAATATCCTAGAACAAACAAAAAATAATAATAATAATTCAGGGTTCAGTAACATATCAAGACTATGAAAAGTAGAAATAATTCTATAGAAATGTGGAAACTTGTAAACAGTAGCAGAGTATGCGTGTAAATGAAAGTGAATGCCTACTTGAGCAGACTTGTAGGCCAACAAAGTATTCTCCGCAGCCTCTTTTCTCTCAGCTCCTGTCTTGAACTCAGCAAGGTATCTATGATAATCACCCTTCATCTTAAGATAAAACACTTTAGACTCAGCAGATGAGGCGGATGGAATAAGATGAGACTCAAGAAGGCTCAAAATCCCATCACAGATCTTGCTGAGTTCAGACTCAATCTTGCCTCTGTACTCCTTTATAATAGCAACATGGTCCTCATTACCCCTGCTCTCTTCCTTCTGTTCAATGGATGAAATTATCCTCCATGAAGCCCTTCTAGCTCCAATCACATTCTTGTAAGCCACAGAAAGGAGATTCCTCTCCTCCACCGTCAACTCCTCAACATCCACTGTCTTAGCAACTTTCTCCATAAACTCAACCATCTCCTCATACCTCTCTGCTTGCTCTGCCAACTTGGCCATGTAAACATTTTCTTCACGCGACTCGGTGGATGACATCTTCGCCACACAAATCTATCTCTTAATAGTTCAAACTGATTTCAAAATAAGAAAACAACCCTATCAGATTTGTACACCAACAAACGCAGCGCATAGTTGAAGTTGCAGGAAAACAATGAAAGAAATCAACCAAGCCCATCTAACAAAATGAATATCAGTGGCGACCAAACGAGAGGGGCACAGCAGCCATTCATCAGCCAAATTTCCTCTTCCACTTATCACGACTCAGTCTCAGACATCATATTCATCAACTAAATGCTAGACTTTCAACAATCCAGAAATACCGAATCCTTTGAAACAACCAAACAAGTAAAGAATTTGACATCCAAATCAAGACGCACACTACCCACAAAAATTAAGAGGGAAAACAAAAACAAAAACGAAAATAAAATTAAGATCGACGAAACTACCATAAAGATAAGTAGATAACTGAAGAATCGAGGAGAAAGCCAAAAAAACACAGAAGAGAAACAAAACCCTAGAGAGAAAAATTGAGACTTGGATCAAGGACGCTTACCTTGGTGCGTGTTCACTGGGAGAGACTGGGATGGAGGCGAACGAAGGAGTGGGGTTCGGGCATTAAAAAATGAACGCCGCTAGGATGGGGAGAGAGAAGAGGGAGGAGCAGAAAAAGATGGATGTCCAATGAGGACATGACACGTGGAAGTTGGCGGAGATTCCGTGGGAATTTGTCTTTTTTGGGCCACGCTGGCGAGCGTTGACCGTCAATTAAAAGATCCGATGGGGTTGGATTGATGAGGTGATATAACTAGTGAATTATAATTGAAAGGTGTCATCAATTTTTAACTTTACACGCCAAGATGAAGCACTGGGCTGCTTTAAATGGAGGGGGAAATGTCGTTGGCAATTAATAAACAAAAAGAAAAAAGTAGGAAATGATGGGGAGTAGAATTTCTCACTAAAAAAAGACAAGAAGAAAAATGTTGAGCAAAATATTGTTTTTGAAATATTATTATTATTATTATTTTGCGAGGCCAAAAGCAATTCCCACAGCGGGTCACATTTGCGTTCTACGGGTAGAAAATTTCAGCGTGGCATCTTAGCATCAAGACAATGGCTTTATTAGGGATATTAATCAGTTGCTAATCACACAATTAGTTAATATCTTGCGTGTGCGTGTGTCAATCATCCTAATCTGTTTATAATGGATTCATTATCATTGGTTTTAGGTGTGGTGGGATATGTACAAGAAAAGAAAATAATACTACATCCCGTTCTTATTATAAAAACTAGTTAATTAATTTAATGTGATTAGGAAAATAAGTTAAATTAGTTATTTATAATAAATAAGTGTTGTCTTTTCTAAAATATCCATACTAATCAAGTGTATTGGCTAGAATTAAAGGTAGAAACAGGTTAGGCGGCCTGTTAGGGGCCTTTGGCTTGGCTTACTTCCGACCTGATCAGGCCAAGCCTGCTAAAAAATAAATACAGGCTCAGGCCTCTTTGAAGACCTATTTCGCCTATTAAACAGCCTGAGCCTGTTATAAATTTGCAATATCATGTATTAATTAGAACTAAAAGTGAAAACAAGCCAGACAGTCAATTGACCAAACCTGATAAAAAACAAGTACAAGGCCTATTTTGCCTATCAAACAGGTTGAACCCAAACCTGCAAGTGAGATGGTAGTAATCTTACTCTTACCACTACACCCCCATTGCACCAAGACCTTTTCTTGATACCCATCGTGCAGGATTTATAATTTTAAACCCAACTAGTTCAGTTAAAAAAATTCTTTACACTTGCACGCTTTGGTTTTTTCATCCATCCCTTAACTCTTTGGTTCAATCTTGCCGCCGCCGCTTGAGCTCTCCATCTCCAGTCTCGACTTTGTTCTCCATTCTCCAAGTGTCATCGGTGCCGTTCACGATCTCCAGCTCTGACGTCGCACGGTCGGACCTCACAAGGCACAGTATCGTTGTCGTTCACTCTTCAGCTCTGAGCTTGCACGGTCGGCCGGTTGCACACCATCCCAATCTCCAGATCTAATCTCTCATCCTCCTCAGTCCTCATCTAGCTCGTGCGTCGTCACTAGGTAAGCTTTTTGTTACAAACTAAACTTTGATAACTAAAACACTACTTTCTCTCGTCCATCGTATTCAAATAACAAAAACGGTCGACTGTTGATATGATTTCATTATTCATGGCAGAAATCGCAGAAATTTGAAGTCTGAATATGATTATATATTCATGGTAGAAATCGCTGAAATCAGAAGTCCCATATATATATATATATATTCCCATACATACATATATATATTCATGGCAAAAAAACGCAAAAATCTGAAGTCACCGCCATGAATATATATATATATATATAAAATATATATGGAGAGTATCAGATTTATCAAAATTTTAATCATTTAGTGTTGTGCTTATGTTTTATAATTTTCCATTGCTCTTCTTCTTGTTCTTTTTGTCGTGCCTCATTTATAGATTCTACAGTAGCCTGTGTTGTGCCAATGGATCAAGATTTTATTAGAATTTTTCTACGGCAAACTAGGAACTTTAGTGTTGTGGATATTTTTGTTAACTTTTGATTTATCAGATTTCTTACTCATTTTCCTAGAGGCTGGAAGCATGTTTTTAATCATTCAACTGATATATGCTAAATTGCTAATATATGCTTTATGATTCATTTCTAGTTTATGATTCATTGCTAATATATTATACACTTCATTTCTTCTTTTCAAGGTGTTCGAACAAGAAGAAATTATGTTCAAAATTTGATGATCTGCGACAAATAGCTATATTTTTATTTGGTCAAAATTATTGTAATCCGTTGCATTTGGTATTATTGTTGATTAATTAGATTATATTAGATTATGTGTTATATTTTAAATAATTTTGGACCAGGTTATTATAATTTTAAATTTATTTATACATATATAGCTTGTTTTCGGCTTGTTTAAAGGCTTAGGCCTATTTTATGTGGAAGCCTATTTTTGACTTATTTGAAGTCCGAAGCCTGTTAGCCTGTTTATAATTTTTTAACAAAATACAGGCCAGGTTTTTATGCATGTCAGGTTTAGGTTGAAAAGAAAGCTCATAATAGGTCACAGGTCAAGCTAACGTTGATTTGTTACAAGACAGGCCGAACTTGTTAAAGAGAAAGCATGGCCTATTTTCACCGCTAGCTAGAACTACCGCTATTGGAAAGACTATTTTGAGAAAAAATACATAAAAATAAAAGACAGAATGGATTAGAATCTTATATTTAGAACCAAAATAAAAATCAAATAAGGTTTTATACTAAAAACCGGAGGTAGTATGTGTCTTGTAGTTTTCATATAGTCATAATCTGGTCTTTAAATTTCAATTTGGTATAAATTAATCGTTATAGTTTTAATTATTTAAAATTTATTATGAAAAAAATTAAAATTAAAATTTTTTTTGCTAAAAAAATTTAAATGATTAGACTATAGAGATTAAATTATGAGTCAAAATTTAAAGATTAGATTATAATAGAATAAAAGTTATAGGAATTAAGTTGTAATCAAATAAAGTTTAAGGATTGGGCGAGTTTAAAATTATAAGGAGAAAAGGATTGGCCTTTTTTTTTGTTTTCCTATAACGAGGGGGAAAAAAAAACGAAGAAAAATTTTAAAGTTTTATGGAGTTTTCTTTGCTTTTTTCAGTTTTGTCACTTTCCTTTTTTTCGCTCGCGCTCGCGGTCTGGTCGTCGTCGACATCTTCGCTCAGGCTGCATTCTCCCCTCTGGCTCTTGCCTTCTCTCCTTCGGCGCCGTTGTTCTTAGGTGCGTTTTCCCTTCCTCTCGTCTCAATTGGGCTCAGATTCCGTGTTTCCTCGCCGCTTCCCCTCCCTCTCTTCTCCGCTTCGCTGCTAGATTTTTGTTTTTTGTTTTTGTTTTGTTGTTTTTTAATCTGGATTTCCGCTTGCTGGATTTCGCTTGTTACCTTATGCATTGGAAACTCTTTGGTACTTCTGGATTTCTTTTTTCTGTGATAACTTGCTTGTGGTTGTTTTCGTTTTCTGGGACTACGAAATTTTTTTCCTGCTCTTGGGCTAGTGTCAGTTAATGACTTTTTCAAGATATGGCCCTGATAGTGTGTTGTTTGGAAGGATATGTCCCTGATACTGTATTCTTTTGAAATATACTTGGACCACCTGCAATCTCTTCTTCCTCCCTCCTCAGTCCTCAGTCGATGAGTCTTCAGTCTCTGCTCTCTCCTCTAGTCTGATTAATTTAGTGGGTTTTTGATCTTGCTCTCCTCTGCCTTGTTGCTGTTATGAATGGTAGTTTGATGTGCCCTGTTGCTTTGTCTGAATATTGTCACGGCTTTTGGCATCTGGGTTTTGCTCTTGGGCTAGTTAAGGATTGATTTATGAGGGCTCTGTTCTTCAGGCTTAAGGGAAAGAGAGTGGAGAAGTTGTATGAAAACTATCTTCAAAATCTATATAAAAAGTTAACGTATCTTTCATATTCGCACATTTGGCTGGTTAAGGTTTGATTTATAAGGGCTCTTGTTCTGCTCTTCAGGCCTGAGGAAAAAAGAAGGAAGAAGTAATATGAAAACTATCTTCAAATTCTAGATAAAAAGTTAACGTATTTTCGTAATTGCAGTTTTTCGTTTTGATTAAAATATGAAATTAAAGCAAATCAGTCTATCAGGAAGAAGTGCTATTACTTAATATTTTCCGTTACTGGTCACCACGTTTTAAGGAAAGATATTCACTATTCTGCTAACTAAAGATTAGGTTGTTTGGATCTTAAAACAACAAATCAAGCACAACAGAGTAAAGTGCACTCAGCTTATGAACTGATACTAAAAGTGAACAATTGATAAGCCGTAGGGCTGCTTCAATTTCTACTCAAATGTTAAAAATCATTATGAAGTTTACAATACAAGACCTAACAGATTTATCTATTTAACACTTATCCAAAAAATGAACCTACTTGAAAATGTTGGATTAGTTGAATGCGAAACATGAGTTCATGAAGAGAATAGTTGTGTCCCTGTATTTTTGTTGGGTCAAATACCATAGAGGATAAGATGCAGATCTCTGTTCAGAGAGTTTGTGTGTGACAGCTTCTAGCAGTAGTGGTTCAAACAGGATTATGGCAATTAAAGTGTGCAACACAGATAAATAAAAATGTGTTTTGATTTTGGCATGATAGATTTCTTACAATAATTGAATAATTTTCTGATGTCAGTGAGAGATTCTGATTTGTCCTGGTGCTTAACTATGGAGAGTTTAAGCTCTTAGCCATCTGATCATGTTTAGATTGGCACGAACATCTTGAAGTCGTAATAAATAATATATTATAACCATATATGTACCTTGAGATGCAGTCACTCAGACATTGAAGAACTCAAACTCTTCATAAGATTTCCCTTTTTCTTGCTGAATCCTGATTACTTTGATTCCACTGCACATATGCTTTCAATATAGATGATACGGGTTATTTCATTAATGTAATTCACTTGGGGCTGAAAAATGATGATAAGGCCCTAGTCCGATTTCCAGGAATGTTTTTTAGTCAGTGTAGTTGTGGAGCAGTCTTATTCTCATTGGTCAAAGTTCAAACCATTCAAATTCGTTAATATTTATGAAAATGGTGTTAAATCTCCTCAAACAATAAAAAATCTTGGTTTTCAAATATCATATATTGAATGGCAATCATGTTATCCAAAATTTCTGGTTTCAACCTATTTAATTTCCGTGAACATCTTTCTGCCTTGAATCCTTACATGTGTCAAATTTGGTTCTCTTTTAGATTTAAAGTGACCAAAGCAAATTTGAAGATTTTTGAGTCCCAATTACAGTGCAGCATTGTGTAATGTTGAATCGAACCGGTGTTGTTCTAGGTTAAGTTTATATTTTCAATATTATGCTATTAATGTGATTCCTTTGGTTCAGTGATGCGGACATTCTTTTTATGTATTGTATTGTGTTTTGGCCTTGTGGCAGAGACTGATATGAATGACTCAGATGGCATAAATGTGAATGACGCAAGCGGCATCACATATTATTATGCTGACATGTGTTTTAGGGAGTTTGATGACAGTTTGTTTGTATTGGAGTATTGAGAACGGACTCAATGTCTTCCCATTAATAGCCTGTTTGTTTTTCTGTTCAAATGCTTTCATATCTTTTCAAGTCCAACAATTTTTTCTTTCCTCCAAATAGTGTTGCAACTCATGAAAACCATTCTGAAGAATAAGCCAAACAGTTCTTTTCATTTTTTTTTCCCTCTAAATTAATTTTAAGAACCATTGCTTCAAACCAATTTTTATACATCATGAATATGAAGTTTATATTTTGCTTGTGTTCTTCTGATATTGATCATTGTCCGTTCTGATAAATAGTTTATCATTAACACTTGGTGTGGTTTAAAGGATACATGTGAGTGAGCCAAATTTTTCTTCTTAAAAGGATTGTTAATAATTGTGCAGCGAGGTATCCTTTGAATGAAATGTCCTGAGGTAAGCTGGAAATTTAAACTTTGATGGCATGATGCTTGAATTTAAACCTTGAGGTATATTTTATTTAGCTTTTATTTGATACATTTCATGAGGATATAAGTCTCGATTTTTAAATTTTATCCATCTTTTAAAAAAATATGTGGTTGGCCTGCATAAACCACCAAGTGGATGGGATTGATAAAATCTCAACCTACAAGAAAAAGGGTTGGCCTGGCCCTGCTTTGGGACGAATCCTTGGTTTAGCCCAACTTTTTCTGCCCTTTTTAATTTGCTTCTTCAGAAAATTGAATTGTAAGTTGGTGATTTTCTTTCTTTTGCTACTAGGTTCCAACTAGCCTTTCATCAATGGCTACACTTCAACCTCTGTTCCGCAAATCTTCTCAGTTCTCTGTAACCCTACGTTCATTTGCCACTACTGCAAGGCCTTCCCACCATAATGATCACAAAAGGAACCACAAATTCCTCGAACCCAGCTCCTTCATTGGAAGTTGGGAGGCTCCAAAGGACCCAAAGGAGGCAGAGGCTAGGCTTGCCCAGCTCAGAAGAGACTATGCCAAGCAGGTTAAGGAGGTTCGCAAGGCATATATCCAGGAGATGGAGCTCATGAGGCTTGAGAAGCAGAGGAAGGATGATGCTAGAAGGGAGGCCATTAGGGTTGCTAATGAACAGCGTAAGAAGCTCAAGGCTGAGGTTGCTAAAGTCAAAGCTGAAGAACGCAAGATTGCCCAAGAAGAATTTCGACAAACCCTTGTATGTGTCCCCCTCTTGCCCATTTTTTCACCTGTATCTTTTGGGTTTTCTTTATTATTTCCTGGGATTCTGTTTCGTCCAAGGAAGTGCTTTATGGGATAATGAAATAATTAACAGGAAAAGATTATCCAAATCATGGAAGATGGGAATGGTTTGGTAGTCCTACAGATGTTTTTTTCCCCTTCTTTTTTTTTTTTTACTTATAATGAAACCGAGTGTGTGGTTAAGTACTAATGTATGCTTGTATTATGCTGCTATTTAATTGTGTCTTCTTAACTATTGGACTAGATGTTAGCGTGAAATCTGCTCCAAGGAAAATGAGTAGATTTAAGATGGAAGAAAGAAAATGTTACCGTGAGAAACCCCAGTGATTGCAGATTAGTGTCTGTGGCACAATGGTGCCTCCCCTACCTGACTCAGTAACACCATACACCTGCTATGCTAACCCAGCATCCTATTCTTATTCTAATTAGCACCAAACATGCACAGAAAGGCGCACACACAATACATGATACAAACACAAGTCAGCAACATAATGAAAACACACAAAACATAAAAATGAGACAATCCCCACGTATAGACTTTTATCCTATTAGAAACTACTTGTTCTCAAGAGTTTGGGCTGGGGCATGACCATCCAACTTAATCTTAATGGGGTAGTCTTGTTCCCTACATAATCCTGTAAATCTTCACCCTCATATTCCTCGACAACAATAATCATGAAATTCTGGGATGGTGTGGCACTAATGGCGGGCACTGGCAAGACATCTCTTTTTTCTATGTCCTTACTTCAGCTTCTGGAGATTTGTTGAACCCACAGCTTTGCTAGATGTCAGTTTTAAGTGTAGGAGCTCGTTTGACTAGTTGACCTGACCTGAAGTTGTGCCATTAAAGCCTGAACCTCAACTTGTGATCATCTTCAGACTGGATTGGGTATTGCTTGATAACACCCCTACATCCACTGAGACTTTCTTTGCTAGAGAAGAACTCTTATTACTTGTTGGGAGGGCTGCCGTCTCTTGCATCTTTGCTAGGTATATGGCACTAATGATGGAAGTCAGTTTGAACACTTGAGCTTCAACCTTAAATTTCAACCCACTGAGGGAACAACTAAAAGTGAAAGACTTGGGAGTATCAAACTGTGCAATCGGTTCTTCAAAGTTCTCCTGAAACTGAGAAACTGAGCGTCTGTTTCAGCTTCATGAGCTTTGCCATAAGCATTATAACGTTGACCATTAGCACAAACCAATATAAACATATTTAACTCGCAATTACATTGTGAATTGATCATTAGTCTGGGTTGATAGGGATATTAGATTAATCCATAGTTAGCAAAACATGCAATATCATAAACACAGTGCGACATGTTTCAATGGGAAAGGATACCAATTGCTCCACATTATTGAACTTTAGAGTGATAGTTACTCTTCTATGAACACTTGAGAGGCGACATTCTTCCACTAAATAGTTTAAGGTAGCCGGTGCTCCTCCTAAAATATTTCTCGGACAATAATTCCCTTTAACCCATTATTAAATATTAATGCAGGGAAAACCCATGGCACATTGAAGCATTTTGTTATATTTTGATTAGGAAATCTACCAGCAATGATTCTAAGTCTTCATCTTTGTTAAATTGCATTTGAAGCACATGTTTCAATTTTTGGGTTCAAAGAGTGATGCCAGTTCTTTTGGTTGAGAAAGTATCTTATTAGTCAGGACGCAATAATTTTGATCTTCATGCCACAATTGTTCGCTTACTGTTGAATTTGAAATTTGTTGCTAATGTCCGTTTATTGCCGTTGTACCTGGCATGGTCACAATTCCGATGAAGTGATGTGGTTTGAGGAGGACCTTGGATGAATAATCAATTATATTGGCTGTCCCCTTGTTTCATATTCTGCATTTACATTTTCACCTTAAAACTTTGGCCAAATTTGTCACTGATTTCTCATTTGTCTGTGTATAGTTAAAAGAAAGAGCAGATAAACTTGAAACTTGGAGGAGGATGATGGGAAAGCATGAAGAGAAGAAGAAAGAGAAGAAAGATTTGTTACACAAGCAAAGTTCACTGTGGATTGATGAATCTGAACTGGAAGAAAAAATACTGGAAGCTGTGGTCGATACAAAACTACTTTGAGCCCCTTGCAGTTCCTCAGTTTGAAATGAATGGAACCTTTGTTTTGCGGTTAGTGGAATCTTAGTTCTTTGTTCAAAGCAGCCTCTTAAAAGAGTAGCTTGTGAATCAGAGTAGGTTTGCATTAGTGGTTGGGCTATAAGGAGCGTGATGTATGGAAATAAAGTTCATGTTGATGCTTATTGGAAATCTTGAATGTCCTAGTACCATGTTTGAAGTGATTTCTATTCAAAGAGGTATAGCAAATGGTCACTCAATTAATCATATGACATTCACATCCATTTAGGTTGTTTAGAAGCCTTGCAAGACGTTTCATATCCTTCAAAATGGCTTCTAAATGAGTTTGATGGTCAGCAGGCCTGTTGTTTTTGTTCACAATCCTTTAGCTTTCAGATCATAGTTCGTTTGTGCGTTGATCTGAGTAATGAAAAAGTTTGATGAATCAACGCACAATGGGTTTAAATATTAAAAATAAATAGCTGTCCATTATTAATCTTGTCATTGCCTAAATTGAAGAGAAAACTAGTAATGAAAAAGTTGTTGTCATGTAACTGATGCATGGGTTTAAATATTAATAATCGGTTTTCCGTTTAAACCGATTGGTCTGTTTATTTTTTTGGGGCCCTTAATGAGAAGTGGACGAGCCTAAAATGTCATTTTCGTCAAAGGAGTATTTTGATTTGGCAAAAGATTTCTTCGGGTTCGGACATGGAAGCAGATGTTATGTGCTAAATAAGTTTAATTGTTCCCAACCTAATTTCTTTTGTTTAGATAAGACAAAATGATATTAAAAAAAGTTTTACATATAACAATAAATAAATGTGCAAGCAGAATTTTATTCACAAAAAAAAAAAAGAAGATAAAGACGCAACTTTAATAGAAATAGGGAAACAATCATGAAACAATAGCAAAATTTGCAGCCAGGTTGTGGTGGACGAATTAATAGGATTGGTTGGAATACGGGTAAAGGACATCTGAACAAAGTTGTCAGTGAGCAATGGCCAGGCTTCTGCATTTGTTAGGTGGAGTAACGGCTCTGGAAGAGCAAGGCTCGCAAACATTTGGTGAGGAATGGCCGTATCAGCGTAGACTCATTTTTTGAAAAGAAGATAAAAAAATGATAGTTAAATAATGAAATTTCCAAATGGTCGTCAAAACAAATAAAATTCCAGGTTTAGGTTTAGGTAACCAAATTGGAATTTGTAGATTTATTCAAATGACTATATTGCTCTTTATTTTAAAAAAAAACACCCAATACTCTCACTGGCTTGTAGAGCTGGAAAAATAGACCGAGCCCTTTTAAGCCCGAAAATTATGAGAGCCGGGCCTAAAAATTTTTCCCTCAAATGAAAAACAGGACCTACAAGGCTAGCCTTGTAGAGCCAAAGGCTTAAACGGGCCAGCCCTCGGTTTAAGCCTTTTTATATTTTTTTTTTAAGTTTTTTGTATAATTCTAATATTATTAATTTTTTACATTGTTGATAATATTTCAAATATTTAGTTATTATTATCATTTTAAAATTAAATTTCACATAATAGTTTGATTTATATAGTTTTAGACAATAATTTGTCCAATTAAATTTTTGAAAAATGGGTTAATTTAGACTTTAATAATGATTTGATTTATATTATATGTGTTGATATTTTTAAACTCTATATATTTGATAAGAGAGTATTTTTATACTTATATAACTTGTGATTCTATAATTTAAATTAGAAATTTATGAGTTTCAACAATAATGTTTCTCAAAATAAATTAAAATAATAGCCAGACCGTAAAATTTAAAAGTCATATTTCTATAAAGAATGAAAACTTGATATTTTTATTACGAAAAAAAGTATACTTATGAAGAAGAGTATTTGATTATAGTGATGATGAAGTTTCAAAAGATTAATGATAGTATTTGTTATTGCACATTTACACTATATATGAAACTCTTAGATGTTGTTATCTTGTTAATAAATGTTTAAATGTTCTTGAATGCTGATGGATATTTATATATGATGATATTTTGTATTTGTAATTTAATTTAATTTATATTTATATCTTTTATTAGTAATTTCATTGGTTTTTTTATTTTTTTGATAAAAAAATGTGAGAAATATGAAAAATAGCATTTCTTTTTTTAAATGGGCCAAAAGCCCGAGGGTTAGCCCTGGGCCCATTAACTTAAGGGCTGGGTCAAGGAAATTGGGGTATTTTTGAAATTTTGGCCCTGTAGGGTCAAACCAGTTCGTATTCCCACATCTACTGACTTGTCACCTCAAGTAATGTGATTAACACGTTTTTTAACGCTATTAACAAGTTTGGTATAATAGTTGACAACAGATTTTTAAGAAATCCAAAAAGTGACATTTTTACAATTTTACTAACTTGGTTAACAAGTTCTATAATACTACAACAAGTTTGGTATAGCATTTAACAACAGGTTTTTTGAAATATTCAAAAAGTGAGATTTTTGCAACTTTAATAACCCGGTTAATAAGTCATATAATGATATTAGCAACTCTCATAATGCCATTAACAACTCTAATAACAAGTCATGTAATGATATTAATAACTCTCATAACCATAGTGACTATCTAACATTTGAAAAAATTTTATTGTACAACCTTTGTAGGAAAATTTGGTTAATGGTGTAATGAGAGTTATTAATATCGTTACATGATTTGTTAATTGTATTATTAAAGTTGTAAAAATACCATTTTTTTTAATTTTCTAAAAAATTTATTTTTAACTACTATAATAAGATTGTTAATAGTGTTAAAAAGTTTGTTAATCACATTATTGGATTTGAAAAAATTCTAAAAAAATAGATATCGGCCCGTGGAGCTCCGGCAACCAACCAACCTATGAGAATACTTGGTGTTTTTTTTTTGAAAAAAATTAGTAATATGGTCATTTTAGCAAATTTACAATCTTAACTTGGTCACTTATACCTAAACTGAAATTTTTCTTATTTAGGTAACATTTGGAGATTTTGAAATTTAGGAATCATTTTCCAATCATTTTTTCTTAAATATTTGGAAATAGTGAATGAGCACCTAATACCTTTTTTTGCTTTTATATATTATGAAAGTTTTATTTTGTAGCATTTCTGTTTTAAATTGCATAATTTAACCATTAAACTTAATGACAAGTAACTGCTAGGATATTTTTGCTACATAAATAAATTTTCAGAACATATATGAGTAAAAAAAAGATTTTCAAATGCTGAGTTCCCATTTATAGATACTTTTACAATATTTAAACACTTTTTTTTTTAAGTTGCATTAAGCAGATAAATGATACGACCCATAAGAGAAGAGACGCTATCTTGATGATGAAATTGAACAAATGTTTTCCTAACCGTACCTTAAAATCTAGGAAGTTCATTTGAGGGAATCTAAGGTCTGGGAACTTCATTTGACATCCCACATTCACTGAAAACGAAAAATAGGGAGATGAAAGACTTTTAAAGAGCTGCCCTGTTTTACATGATAATGTCAAATACATATAAACATATATCTAAAATCACTAATATCATAATCCTAAAAATCATAGCATTTTTTGTTTATTTTTATGCCATCGTCTTTTTTTCAGGAGAAAAAATCATCATATACTTACTTTGCTTGACGTACAATAAAAATCATTAAGTCAATCAAAATAAAATATTACAATCACGTTGCAATACAACTATTTTTTCAATTTTGTTGTTTGTACAATATGCCAAAAAAAAACTGTTTAGGTATATCAATATTTTTAATTAATATTTTCATATTTTAAATAAAATTTAATATTTATGTATTTAAAATAATGAGAAGAAATATTTATGTATTAATTTTTTATATTAATTGGGGAGATAAAAAATAAAAATAACAAAAAAATATATATTATCGTAAAGTTTATAAAATAATCTAAAATTTATAAGTAGCTTCATTATAAGTTATTACTGCTTTGATCCTCCATATAGGACCTAATTATTGAGTTGATCTTGATCTTAAATATAAAACACATTAATCGTATTTATCAAATTTTTTTAAAAATTATCCTATTGATACTCTTTCAATCATAATTAAGTAAAGAGAGAGGAAATATATTAAGAAGATATTATGGTGTTTGGAAAAAAAAAAACATGACATTTTTTATATTTAACTAATTTACTTAATTTTTTTAATCTAATTAAATTAATTAAATAGCTTTATATTAAGTACTAGAAGAATACTACCTTCGATCCTTAATATAATACCTCGTTTGACTTTATTTTGGTTATAATTATAAGATCCCAATCCACTTTATCTCTCATATTTATGTATTTTTTAAAAAAGTAGTCTTTCTAATAATGTTAGCTCGTAAAGATATTTTAGGAAAGACAATACCTATTTATTACAAGTAACTAACTTAATTTATTTTCTTAGTATTAATTTATATATAGCTCACTCAATACGAGACCTATCAGTGGATGAAACCAAACTTTTGAAAAAGTGATTCTGGAGAATAGATTCTGAGAAAAAATAGATTCTGGAAAGAATAAATTTTATGAAAAAGTGATTTTGAGAAGTGAGAGTGTTTGGATAGTGTTATCAGAAGCACTTTTATATACAAATACTAAAAAAAAGACATAAATTATATGATAATTATAGAGAAAATAGATTTTATGATATATTTTCATTTGAAGGAATAAATTGTTAATAATTATTTTTTATTAACATAATTAATACATAAGATAATATAATTATAATAATTAATATGTATATATTTATAAATATAAGATTAATATGTTTATAAAAAATCTGTTTATATAACAATACATATCTATAGGCTCTCACACTCTCCCTTTTTTCTCCAAAAGTAAAAAAATTTGCTTTTTCCAAAACCATGGTTTTGCCAAAACCATGGTTTTGACCCAAACCATGGTTTGGGCAAAATGGGGTGGTGTTTGGGTGACTTATACCCAAACCATGGTTTGGGGTGTCACCCAAACGGTGCCAGTCTATAAATGACTTAACAATCTAAAATCCATGAAGTAGCGGCGTGGTTTCTGGGCCAAAAAAAAAAAAAAAGAGGAAGAACAAGAAGCTGGGCTTCATTCAGCTTCATGGGGTCGGCTTCCCCCCTCTCATAGACAAAAGTAGCTGAAGAAACTGAGAATTTTTTTCTCCTGGACGAAGAAAATACTGAGATTTTCCAAGAATTGAAGTTGAAGTGGTGTGATGTGAGGAAAAAAATTGAGAATGAGAGAGTGAGTTGCTGCCCTTGTTATCAGATTGCCGGTAATGGTTCTCT